TGTGAGGTTTGGGATGCCTGTGGAATAGCAGAGCAGCTGTAGGAGGAAAAGGCAGCAAACCTGCCCAAGCCTTGAGCCGAGTAAGGGACATTTTCACTTCCTCCTGCTCACTGCCAGGTGGGTGCCCTCGAGGGCAGGGCCAGTGGAGCCCTCAGAACTGCGGCTTTAGTTCAAGTGCTCAGTGAAACCAGCCCAACCCCTTCCATGAAGAGCCCTCAGTTCCCTTCAGCAGCTGCTCCCCACATGCTGTGGGAAGACCTTTCCTTTCCCATAGCAGGCACTTCCCAACAGCCTCCCAGGGCCTGACTTCAGGCTGGCTCAGGCTGACACACAGGCCCTGGACTGAGGGTACTCTGTGTGAGCACTGTCTCCACCTCTCCAAGTCCAGATTCAGAGTGATCCTTCAGAGGGGTCCCCCTGACAGCAGGCAGTGCACAGAGATGCTTCAGCTCAGCAGTATGAGCTGTAGAAGGAATTGGAGCACCAAGTGATAAAACTGCTCATCCCAGGAAGCAGGACCCATTGCCAAGGCCAGAGGAGCTGTGCAGCAGGAAGGCCAGGAAAGAGGGAACATCAAGAGCAGAGGGCTCTGGAGGTAATGCAGTCACATACAGCCATAGACTCATAGAATAGTCAGGGTTGGAAAGGACCTTAAGATTATCTAGTTCCAACCCCCCTGCCATGAGCAGGGACACCTCACACTAAACTATGTCGCCCAAGGCTCTGTCCAGCCTGGCCTTAAACGCCTCCAGGGTTGGAGCATTCACAACTTCCTTGGGCAACCTATTCCAGCGCCTCACCACCCTCACTGTGAAGAACTTCTTCCTTATATCCAACCTAAAGTTCCCCTGTTTAAGTTTAAACCCATTACCCCTTGTCCTACCACTGCAGTCCCTAATGAAGAGCCCCTCCCCAGCATCCTTGTAGGCCCCCTTCAGATACAGTCCTGTGATGATACAGTCAATGTTTGCCTGTCAAAGCTCATGGTGCTTCCCTGCCATTCAGCACCCAGCCCTGTGCTATGGCTATTCCAGCACCATCTCTCATTACATGAGACATGTCCTTATGCTCTCCAAGGCCAGTGTCTGATAAGAGGACCCAACCAAGATCCTCTCCTACATCAGCAGACACAGCCGACCATGGAGCACGGCGTAGGGCAGCGGGTGAGCCTGGCCCCATGAGTGGTTTTGTTTCTTACCCTGGTGAGGCTCTAACAAGGGTGATGAGGATTGACAACAGCAGGAGCTGGGGACTTGCACCAGAGGAAGTTGCCACTTTCTGCTCATGCAGTGCGCAGGAAACGATGCAATTGCCTTTTCCCTTCCAGTTGTGCATGTCCGAGTGGAGCAGAACACACCTAACGTTAACACCATGGACAAGTAGAGATGAAAAGTCAGATGAAATGCTGAAGTAGGTACGAGTGACAGTCTTGACCAGGATTCTGTGCAGCAGCAGCAGCCAACTGTAAAGCCTGCATCTTGGTGTAACTAGTTGTGTTCTGCACACTGAGTAACTGAGATAAAGTTGTTAAGATACAACAAGATGGGCCCAGTGATAGCAAATGAGGAAACTGCTGGCTGGAAACTCACTAGTCAGAGGGCTACTATCAGCTCCACATTTTGCCTTCTGCAAAAGACAGGCTGGGCAGAAATAGCCCTTTTACTAGAGACTGGTTATTCACTGAATTGGTTATTCTGCTCCCCTCTTCCGTCCCCCCAGAAATCAAACCTCAAACCCCATCACCCAAGAGGAAGCAATGAGCACACAGCAAACAATTCATGTAAGTGGCACAAAGCTGCTCCTGGGCTGATGGCTCAGCATAAACAAGGGAAGAGCAAACAAGTTCTGTGGCGAGGGAAGCTCTTGCTGCAGTTCAACAGCTTGGCTGGAGCATTCATGCACTGCTGCCTCCCGTGTGATTCAAAGCACGTGCTATGATCGCAGGCATGCACACTTTGATGCACACTCACCTGCTCTGTGCTGGAAGCTTTTCCTGCTCTCCTAAAAGGCCCCAGGGAAAAGTCACCTCCTCTCCAAGAAGTCCTTGTTTCAGGCATGTCATCACAGGGTCTAACACATGGGTACCTTATTGCGCAGCACACTGGGAACAGAACAACTTGCATCAGCATGTTACTAGCTCTTGGGATACCTGCTGGGTGCTGTAGCCTTGTAAAACCAAGAGTGAAGAGGGGTTACAATGACAATCCAGGTAATGCTGCAAGGACAAATGGGCCTGGAAAACACTACCACTACACTAGCTCCGTCTTTTATCGAGCTGCAAACTTTAACTCTTCGTTCCCATCTTCCCATCATTGCAGAGACTGCTTTAGATTATCATGCAAACTGACTCCTTCTCTTTAACACAGGACATTCACTGCTAACCACACCAACACTTAGCTTTGTGGTCTGAAACTTTAACTACTTGACCTGTACCAACTGTTTTTACCTATGGCACATCAGCACCTTGCACACGTCTTGTGAAGATGCAGCCTCCTGCTGACACAGTAATGAAACTGAAACTGCCCAGCGGGTATCACTGGGTTGAGAAGTACTCATCTATACCCTGAATATCTCAACCCTACACTGCAGGCACCAGTTACCTTGAACCAGGTCCCAGTATATTGTTTTTCACTGTAGCTCTCCCCAGTGAGCCTGTGACAAGCTGCAGACCCAATGTGACAAAGGACGGTGCATTGAGATCCAAACAAAAGCAACTGCTGCTTAAAATCCACTGTTAAGCGTCTCTCTTGTGCACTGCAGCACCAGGCAGCAACGCAGGTCACGAGCAGAGAAGCTGGAGCACCTTTAAGAGCTGCAGCCTGAGCCAGCCACAAGAACAAGCTCTGCAGTGACAGCAGCACTTGGCCAGGGCACAAATCCATCCATAAGCCACAGAACAAAGGGACAGCCTCAGCTGCAGAAGTGCGGGCTGGAAACAAACACACTACACTCTCCAAACTGGCAAAATCTGCATTTAATTTACAACATAGTAAAGGTTACAGGTAAAAAGCTCAACAGAAAGTGTGAAAAGGCCTATTACATATTACACAAGTGTACAAACGTCTGTACAAAGCCCCTAGGTGTTACACTGTCCCCTCCTGCACCAGCTGCGGCCCCTAAGCTCTAAAATAATGAGAGCTTGTTCAAACCCAGAGAGGAGAGGAGCTTCAAAAGCAATGAGCAGTAAAGCTTCCCTTTTCAAGAAAAACCTTGCAAAGAGCCACTTGCAAAAAACAGAACAAAAACCACCCCCCCCAAAAAATACCCAAACCAAGAAAACCTGCTCAACTTTTACTTGCCCTAACTAGTCTTACCCTAAAGAGTCGCCTTCATAAAGCAGACTGGCTGGAAAAAGACAATTCTACCTACCAGGAAGAAGCAAAACTAAAGGGAGAAAGATTCTCAGAGTCCACATGGAGTGTCTGGAAGGAGAATGTCTGAGGACTGAATCATAGTCAACAGCAACTCAACACAGAGCAGCACAACCATCCTGGAGGAGGTCCTGTGTTCAACCATCTCACGGCCTGAGCTAGATGGTGCAGGCAGGGGGACAAACCAGTCTCTAAAGCCATCTCTCTTGGGAATGGGGTAGCTCCCAGCTCATTTTTAGCTCAGGAACATGATAGCAATCACTCTGCAGATGCAGAAGTCACACTGATTTTGGAGCTTGTGTCCAAACCAGGTCCCATGCACGCAACATACCAGAGGCACTGTCACACTGCTCCGGCAACCACCCGATGTGCACAACTCAACTTGGCCAGATAGCCACAGTACTGTATGGAATGAAGAGCTGGGCACACTGCTGTCGGCATGGTGCATGTCTCCTGGAGAAATCCCCAAATAAGAGAAGAATGTGACCACAAAGCTGAACTGCATTATACAATGTCAAGAACATCCAGACAAAACCTAAAGAAAAGAAAGCTCTGACCTTACCTTGTATAAAGAAAAGATACCATCTCTGAATACATGTAAGTGAGAGGGTGAAATCTAAACCTGAGGATTTGAAGGGCCAAAGCAACAATCCAAATCAAGCTTATTTTATTCAATGGGACAAATGATGAAGTAGTAAAGAAAAAAAATGTAACGTGATGAAACCAACTTGTGCACTGCTTTATTCAAGGTGAGGCAGATTCTCTACTGAGAATTCTAGCTCTACGTAGCACTGGGTTCTCATCCCCTGTTACTAGTGACCAAAATAGCAGATTGTGGTTTCAGTTGTTAAACATGCTGATAGCTGCTCATTTTTGTACATGTCCAGCTGCACCTCACACATGCTCTAAGCTCACAAGTTCCATTTGCAAATAGAAATGGAACTATTTAAATTAAAAAGGCCACTGAGTTTAAAAGAAACTGGTCTCCTCTGTGTTAACTCCACCTTAAGTTATCACAGGGGTGAGATCAGCCTGACTTGGTTGTTTGTAGGCAGTACCTACCCACCAGTCTCTGAGGCTTCCCATGTCCGGCAGCACCAACACAAGCTCCCATCCCTCCAGGTGTGCACCCCTTTAGCCCTCCAAACACCACAATACTGGGCCACAGCTCAGGAAACCCATCTGATTTTGTCCATTAACTCCATGTCCTCATGAACTAATGGGATGCTGTAGTGTTTGAGGTGGAAAAAACCCCAAAGCTGTAGCCAACCTAAAAATAAAGTAATACAAAAAACCCCCCAACAATGTCCCACACATTGGTGGGTTTGGAAAATGTACAAAATAAAAGCTGACCTATATTTTGCAAGTTTTAGAACTCCTATTAATGAGATTGTGAAAGGCTTGGCCCCACAACCATTCACTTCTGATAGAGCTGACCTGCTACATGCAAGTCCAGCAGCAACAACGTGACTTGTCGTGAGCACAGCGCCTCCAAACACGGATTTGCAGGGTCATGCCATAAATGAGAATTAAGTTGTGTGATGCTGCTCCTTCAACCTCTGGATCAAAATTGAGAGTAAGGACCTCTGGGGATAGCAACGGCTAAGAAAAGGCTGCCAGATATTTTAGTTCAAAAGGAGATGGGAGCTGTATTTCTTTTTTTCCTTTAACAGACATATAAAAATGTTTGAAGACAGATCTTTAAAGGATGTTTCACTTCTCCAATCTTGGTATTACATCTGGTTAGGACATTGAAATCTTAAAAAGACGATACTGCACATCAACAGTTTCTGGAGTTTGTGACTCCCACCCGCCCTCCACAAACACCAGCTCAGATCAGCAGGGAAGGGGTTGGCTTCTTGCCTGGCCATGCCTCCTTTGCATATTTCTTCTTCTTGGGTTCATTCACAGCTTCAGGATTAAAGACAGCAGGGTTTGGAGCTGGGTTCATGTTGACTGTTGAGGGCACAACAGGAGTCAAGTCCACATCTGGGGCGAGATTGGGGTAGGGCATTGGCAGCCCACCTATGAGCGCTGTCCCATGGCCACCGTGCGACTGGGACCCTGCCTCATTGTGGGTTGGAGGTAGACCCCCGTACAATCCTCCACTGTAGGGGAAGTTTTGCATCCGTCGTGATGCAGTATCATCTGTGGTCAGTGAGCCTGGATTCTCCAACCGCTTTTTCTGGAGATGGAAGTATTTAAAGCATTAGTCAGAATACATGAAATAAGCAGGCTGCAGAAACTGGCACCTTGACCAGCCACACAAAGTGGTTACAGACCACGTCCCAGTAGATTTCTTCTGTGTTTCTTTGAAAACCACTTAATAATAAACTCTTAAAGGTGCACAATGCAGGAAGGAGTGACAGAAACTGAACTTAGATCAGGTCTGAGCACCTCTTTACCTCCTGTATACACCTGCCAGTCTTGTGCTTGTCCTAAACACAAGACTGAGGAGGTCTTTAGTCAATAACACAAACCCTCCTCTCCCCAGTAAGAAACTGCAACTTCTAGATCACTTGGGTGATTTTGCCTAGCTCCTTCTCCTGCAGCCTGGGGTTTATGTAGAATTATCCTTTTCCACACACAGTATTTAGTGCATGCCAGCAACAAGTGAAGTTGCTATCACACTGTTGCTTAGCTACCCTGAAGCTTTACAAATATTCAAGTTAAATATAGCACAGGCAACACTTTCATCTTGCAGCAAAGTCTAAACCCTGCTAGTTCCAGCAGACAACCTTAGGAAATCTTTAGCACTTAAAGGATTTAAACAAACAACCTCTCATTTTTACTTTCTATTTCCCACACTTCCTATTATTTTAACCAATGTCCAGAACCACCGTACTGGAATTCTGGGAAGTACTTCTTTTTGTGAGGGGAAAAAATATTGCCATTGATCTCATGTGTTATTAAAGAGCAAAAGCTGGATTTGAAGGGAATGATCGAATCTACTAAAAAAAAAAGACAATTATGAAACACAAACACGACTTTTGCTAACAATAAAACACTTTTCACCACAGAACATTATGTTCTTAAGGAGGAAGTCATAAAATGAGTTGATATAATCAATCACGAGTTCATCAATGTAATGCATTCATTAGAAAGTTGAGTTACTCTGTACCTTAACAGGGACTACTGCTGTCTGTACCATGTTCCTGAAACGCCCAACAGAAGGGTCCACATCCTCTGCAAGGCAAGAACAGTGATGCCTTTAGTAAGAATAGAGGAAGAGATAGAACATCTGTCAGGTAAAGGAGCCTATACGAGTAACTGGTACATGGACCTTCTCCAAGACAGTGCCCTAGTGGTGCTCAGGAAGCACAAGCATGCCCAGATGAAGAGAGGAGCCAGGAGGACACCTAGTGGCTTTGGCTCCAGGTGGGCTCATCAGATACACTGGTAAGAAAAGCATCCAACTCCAGTGGAGAACAGGGAGGGGAACATCTGGATGGGTGGCTTTCACTGGAGTTCTGGGCTGAAAGCTGCAGCTGACAAGCCCCTGCATGTGCTCAAAGGCACAGCAGCCATTCCCAGAAGTCCTTGGGGGAACCTTGAAGGAGGAGTTGGAAGAATTCAAAGCATCGTTACGAAAGAGGGTAACTTGTTGCACATAAGCAGACAAACAACAAAACCACTCTGAGCTTGAGACAGAAATCCATGAGGCAACAGGTAAGGAAAGCATTAAGGGACAGATGAAACCAAACAAGTTCAGTTCTCACTTAGTTTCCAAAGAAGGCAAAAAAATTAAAGCACTTCCCTCCTTTTGGGCCCATGAGATTTTCCAGCATCTGATGGAATTTTGAACAAGGAAGGTGAGTGTGCTATCCCTGTCCTGCACAGATCATGCAGTTATTTATCAGGTAGAAGAGAAGAAACAGAGAGAGATCAAAGCCTTAAGTGAGACATGTGGCAGCTTCTCCAAAATAGCAGATCCCAAATATCAACTGCCAAATTTCTCTTCTTATCCATATGCAGCCAGGAGGAATCCCTATGGGAACACTGGGAAGGGGACTTTCAGGGCACCAACTAAAGACTAAAGCAAACTACTTACCCGGATTGATGATTTCATCATCATCACTGAACGTCACTCTGGAGTTCTTCCGTTTTCTCTTTGGTCTCTGAATATCCAAGTTCCCTTCCTCAATGGTTAGTGTGGAAATTCTTTTGTTGTGGGCTGTATTAAACTCTGTCAGGTTCTAATGATAAATATGGAGATGAAGTAGTTTAAGCAATCAGTGTATGAAGTCTGATTTAACCATGTGATTGTGCATATCAGAAAACCACAGCACACTGTTTAGCTTCAACTTTAGAACCATAGGACGAAAGAGTGCTCCAGTGCTGCAACAGGCTGCTCAGAAAGGTTGTGGTCTCTGCTTGCAGGTACTCAGAACCTGACTGAGCATGACCCTGGGCAACCTGCTGTAGGTGACCCTGCTTGAGCTGGAGGACTAGATGATCCTGAGAGTTTCCTTCCAACCTCAACAATCCTGTGAATGCCACATATGCTGCTTTCTCCCTCTTCACTAGTTAACTGTAGGAAACAGAGCAGCATTCACTGGTACCTGGCAACAGGGAACTGTGGGAAATCAGCCCTGCCCAGGGGTAGTGTAAGTTGGAGAGTGTGTAACTCCTTGGCAAGCCACTGTGAGCAGACCATTGCAACAGCAGGATTATTAGGTCAGTGATTCTGGGAAGCTGCATGATCACACGGCAGAATGAGATGCTTTGTGTGTATGTGCCAGCAGAAAACAGCTTAGACTGCCTTGAAGGCCTCGAAATGAAGAACCTGAACCTAAGTGAACAAGAGGGGAACGCTATCTGTTTAGATAGAAACACCATCTAGGTCCAGTGTGATACTGCACTCACGTCAAGTTCTGTCTCCTCCTCTGGCAGGCCCAGCAAGCCCTTGAGCTCTTCATCTTCGCTGCCCATTTTCTCATCTCCCTTAACCGCTGATGGAAGCGTCTGAGGCTTCTCCCGCAGCGTATAGGCCCGTGTAGAAGCACCAAATGAAACCGTGGAGTCAATGGGTATCTGTTGGGGTTTGTGAGGTTCCAAACGGATATGACCCAAGAATGTGCCGTGTGCTGAGAACATCAAAATGCAAAACAGGCTGTTAGTCATCACCTTGGGCTCATAGTATTCAAGTCTTGAAAAGTTCAGAAACTACATGGTTGCTCCGAGATACAAGTCCCTGAGGTACTGCTGAAAACATGAGCTTTGTATATATTACCCACCAACTCACAAACTAAGATAACACACATGAGAAGTCCTCAAAACCTCATGGAAATAAAGTACAAACACCATTTACTTTTTGGATTCTTGTAGGTCCCAATGTACTATGTCTGGAATCAGTTCCTTGGTGGAAAAAACAGGTTTTAGGTCTTGGGAAACCACCCTCAGTAAAGAAAGCTTCATGAAACTTTGAAGGGAAGGCCAAGTCATTTCCCTCCTCTCCCTTAGTCTCTTAAGAGGCTAGAAATGTTCTTTTAAACACCAAGTGAAGCAGATGTAAGCTCACTGGAGCAACCACTCCTGTGCTCCAAACCCAATCTTTCACTAGGATGCTATTTCAGAGTACAATCATCTATCCACACAGTGAAACAACAACAACAAAGGAAAAAGTGTCTCGGATTCAGAAATGTTTAAGCACTGCAATACTGTGCTTCTACCTGGTTAAACGTCACACTACTTACTGCTGTTTAGATCTATGAGGAAAACCCTCTTGAGATGTTTGTGATAGACCAAGGCAGCATGGACCCGAGAGCAGGACTGGTGGTCAATGGTAAAATCACACAGATCAGGGTTTCTCCCAAAGAGATAGTATTTCTTCTCATCAATGATGAGTTTCTGAGGCAGAATATCAAACAGAGAAATGTATTAGGCTCCTATCACCTTATGGATCTTCCTGAAAAAATTCAAGAACATGAACAAACAGAGCAAATTCAAAACAAAGCATCAACAGCTCATTAATATTTCAGTTTTGTCTGGCACTTAAATACAGAAACTCCAATCTCCTCTTTGTAACATCAGAGCAGCTGAATATGGAAAAGTCCCAGTTACTCCCTTAACAGCCAATACAAGACAGCCTGGGAAGGACAACAACTCTTCAAAGATAAAACTGCCTCGTACAAGAGACTCTCCCAGTGATTTTTTCACATTCCTCAATGCAGATGACCTGGCTTTGTCTAAGCCAGGAATCTATGCTAAACGAGCTCCAGTCCAACACAGAACAAAGGTCTATTCCTGTACAGAAATGGACATACAGGAGATTTCACACCATTATGCTGAAGATGTACAAGTATAGTGAATATGCAGTGTGATATAAAACCACATGATCTAACCGAGTAAACCATAGCTTCAGGTGTTTCTTCTTAACTCATCCTAGTTCTAAGCTCTTCTTCAAACAAGACCTTACACACTGCAATATCCATTACATAAACCATCTCTGGAAAGCAAAGGAACATGACACAGTCCTGCACCATACACAGCAGATTTCTATTGGCAGACAACATTGTTGACAGGAACTCCTTGCACCGAGTGCTGAAGTATCCAAGCAGGGCACCTTACTTCCCACTGTATTCCAAGATCTTCATCCAACCTGCATTTCCTCACTTCCAGATGCACAAGCCATTACAGATTTGTTAACAGATGGCTTCTCCTGCTTTTTGTAACATTTACCAAAGCCCACACAATGTTTCAATAGCATGAACAAGAGAATGCTGATGATACCTCATTTTCCATCAGGAAAAAAGCAGATCTTAGTTCACGGAAGCATTGCTCTCATGAGATGCTCTGAGCTGAACTAACGTTTTGCCTGCTAGAGGATTTCTCCCCTCTCCCCTTCACTTCCCAGCCATACAACTCTCTCCTCAATCCCACTACCTCACATCTAAGCAAAGTTTTCAGCTTCCAAAGCACTCCTTTGCTGTGTTAAGTCTTCTCCTGCTGTCCTGGATGGAATCAATTTGCCTTCAGCAAATGCGTATCCCAGCAAAGGGATGATAGAGGCACTAGGACTGTGGGATGAGGAAGAATCTCCCACTCTGGCAGTAGCATTCATGTCACTCAGTTGTTTGCTCCTAGTTTTGCCTGCTATATAAACCTCATCTACAAAGAGCCAATGTGTCAGACTAGTTACAGGTAGTTGGTTTGGGGGGGTTTTGAGCTATCAGAAAGACTGACACTGAGCACCTAAACAGTCCCTTATTCTGTGGCACTACAAAGTCGTGCAGAAAATGAGACAGCTTGGAATAAGGCACAGTATTTCTATTCCTCTGCCTTATCTCCAAGCAAAAAAAAAAAAAAATCACAAGAGCTTCATTTTCTACTACATTTTCTTACAGCTCCTCCAGTCCCAACCCCTGCCACGGGCAGGGACACCTTCCACTAGAGCAGGTTGCTCCAAGCCCCTGTGTCCAACCTGGCCTTGAACACTGCCAGGGATGGGGCAGCCACAGCTTCTCTGGGCCCCCTGTGCCAGCGCCTCAGCACCCTCACAGGGAAGAGCTGCTGCCTCAGAGTTCATCTCAATCTCCCCTCTGGCAGGTTAAAGCCATTCCCCTTGTCCTTGACTTGACAGCATTCAAGAGATTTTGCAAATACAGAAGTGAATTAATAAATTGGAAATACTGCAACAAATCAAAGGGGGAAAATAATTTTATTGCCTTTACTCCAGTGTAAGTTTCCAAAATTTTCTGTGCCTCTGAGTTATAACCCAGTGTCTTCCTTTATACACTGAGCTTAAACACTTCATGGCTTGTTTTAATGTAGCACTTTTCAGACCCAGCAATCACACGGTGTACCACAGACCTCTCTGCACATGGCCCGGATACGGATGGCTCGGTTAGTATCAAGTGCTCAGTAATCCAGGAAGATTTAAGAATGTTCCTCCCATCAAAAGACAAAACTGAAAAACTATTTGCCACATGTACCTACGGATCACACTAAATGCTGTTAATGCATCGCACAGCTCCACTGCATGGAATAGTGTACTAGGACTTCACTACCAAGCCAGCTTGGGCTTCAGAAAGCTTTGCCCAGCAGAGCCTCAGAGCCTGACACCACCAGGACAAGAGTCCTCCTGACTGTCAGTTTATCAACACCAACTTTGCTCATCCATTACCAAAAGCAATGGTGCACCCTCAGCTTCCATATGACATTTTGCTGCTTTATTTTTCAGTCCTGACCAGGACTCCTGTGACAGACATTTGCTGAGCACCAGAGGATTAATTCAGCAGAGAAGTCCATGTAAATTCTTTCACCCTAAAGCTCTCTCTCCACGCTCAAGAATCCAAAGGAAACATGACAAGAGAAAACTCATCTTATAGTCTCCCAGGTTTGAAGGCTGCATTATGTTTGGCCACCTGCCACATACCAAAACCCCCAAAGTCACAAAGCCATTTGGCTTTGCTCACTGAATTTCATTACATGGCCTGAAGGAAAGACTGGAAAACCCAGTGCCAAGTACAAGCCGTACCCCAGCTGCTGCTGCTGGGATGGCAGTGAGAAGGCTGAGCTGAGCTGAGCAGCAGTCCTACTGCAGCTCTCTGATCTCTGAAACTGGTTCTGAACACCCGATGCTACCATGAGAAGCACAATCCATGGCCCATGGATTGAAGACAAACACAATGCAAAGGGTTTGAATGCTATAGTGCCTAGAAAGAGCCAGTGAAGGACAGCCCTGATGTAGTGCCAGTAGTGGGCATGAACCACCTAAGCCATGTCTTGTATGAACTATTGAGCTACTCTGAGGATGCAGTAAATGGGTGTTAGTATCTAATTCCTCCCAAATTCAGGCTGAGTTAGAATCTCTTCTAGATCAAGACTGGCTTTGCCAATATTCTGTGTCTGTAAACCCAGACTAAGGCAATCTCTCAGAAGAGTCTAAACCCAGCAGTAACAGACTATGAAGAGAAGCCTCATTTTACTGGTTCCTGGCCTGAGAGAGCACAAGTCTTTGTGAGATGCCCATTTGTGATATCTCTACCTGCTTTCCTATGCAAAACATATGCTGGCAATTTAACCAAATCTCTCCTGCTAGACACCAGAAGGAACACTTAATATCATCTGATGCTTCTGTGGCAACATACATTAAAAATCAGCCAATATTTTATGTTTCCTTCATCTCTCTTGATCTAACACCAAGTTCATAATTTTCCAAGTTTCTGTTCAGAAAAGTTGGCTCAACTTTGCAAGCTTTTGCTGCCCAGCAACATTTCTCTGTTCCAGTCAACTGCAAGTTAGGAGTCTCTCCACAGCTAAATACATTCACTGGCCTGGGTCCTCCCTGTCAGCCATGGTCAGAAGCCTTTCTTATTTACTACTTTTGGTGATATAAGACAAAACATGAAATAGAGAATGAGGTGGTACATATCAGACAAATAATAAAAATAACTCATGAGCTAACCCCAACACTGGTCAAAGATCCAGAACATGGGGTGAAATATCAGATTGTATTTCATACTGTAGGACAGGGCAACAACCTTGGGAAATCCAGGATGCTCAGCTAACCTTACTGTAAAACAGACTGAGAGTTTCACTTGGTACTGCTGTTTGAGAGGAGTTTTCACTCTTACTCTTTTGTATTTGAGATTTCTTTCCCCATGTTATTCCAGTTTTTGCTCCAGAGGTTCCTAACATAAGGTGCCTTCTGGCTGCAGTCTGATACCTCCTATGGGAGTATCTTGTAGGAAACAAAATGTCAACTTTGATCCAAAATTAAGTTTGGAAGCATTTGACTTTTACTCTCTCTCTTATTAAGGCTGGTTTGATGTTCAGGAAGCCAAGAGTTAGCTACCTGAGCAGGGCAGTTTTGTACCCCTGTACAGTGCATCTAATCAGAAGATAACTGATGGAAGCACTACATAGTATGAGACAGCCTTAGGATACAGGCAAGGGGACAAAGGAAAATTCTCTTCATTCTGAAGTTTCAGAGTAAAATAAACTGATTTGAACATCATGAATACGAGAAACTAAATACTTATGAGGAAGTGTGGAAAATGCTGGGAAATGTGCTACTGCTGACACCTATGTACATGATTACCCAACACACACAAACCCTATTTTCATACCTCAATGAGTTTGTCTCCTTTGACTACATCCAGATGTAACCCAGGTGGTGGCTTCCCTGCCCTGGAAAATAAAGAAAGGAAAATATAGCATCAAAACATTTCATAGAACATTTATTAGGGTTAGAGGTAATACTCTATTAGAGCTAGAGCCCAAACCTACACAAATGTAAGCAGGATTATTTGGGGGAAAATATGAAAATCTCATCGTTTTCCTCCCTGCAGATTCCTTCTGCCAACACATAACCTATCATTTTTCACAAGTGTTATGCTCACAGGACATGAGGCATTTCAAGCTTTACTTCTCCAGGCGAAAAATAGTTAATGTACAAAGTATATGGAGCAGTCCCTAAGAGCCCATGATGTGAGGCCTAGAGGGGGCCTTGAGAAGGGGATGGGCTGGAGCTGTTTGCTCAAGGGCTCCATTTTCTGTCATTACCTTCAAACCAGCAGATCTCTCCCCTCAGCTGCTGAGAAGATCAGAAGCTTCTACCATCCTTCCCCTCTAGGACTCAGAATGGCAAAAAACCTAAGAGGGGCTCCCCACACACCTGTGGTAGTATAAAAATAGCCACTGCTCCTCCACATGCACCTCCTAATCCAACTTTCCTACCAACACATGTAGCATGAAAGAGACTGCAGTATAGATGGCAGAGGGTCCCCTGCCCTACAACAGGCAAACCTCCACCAAATCCTGGAACAAACAGCAGCTCCCCAGCCCCAGCTCCATCCCTGCTCACCTCCAACAAAGCACATTCAGTCAGGCAGTGTTACTTCCACTTGAACAAGGGGAACACAGAGGCATGTGGGACTCAGCACAGTAAAACAACATGTGAGAGAACCCACAAGGAGGAGCACCATCAAAAATGTATCTGGTATTGAGAGTGCTGAAAATGAGGACACCACTGTGGAACCAACACGCTGCCCTTCACTGCCCAGGATCTTCAGCTGCTGACAGCAGATCACCTTTGTCTGCTCAGACCTCCCAAAATCTGCACCTCTACCAATTCTTCACTGACAATAGCACTGCTGCTTGTCTCTGTGGCTGGACCACCTTTCCAGGCAATAGCAGTGACCCAGTTCTCAGCTATGCTGCTGCCCTTCTGAACAACCACAGAGGAGATCACCTCCCCACTGCCCGCTTTGCTCACAGCACAGGGCAAGCCAGGAGAGCAGTGACAATGGGGAGCAACGTTTTCAGCATGGCTGGAAAAGAAAGAAAGGTCATTTGTAATTGAAGTTGGTTGAGAGGGCTAAATATAGATGTTCATGCTTCTGGGACCTGCCTTACAACTTGAAGAAACATTTCTTCATTTTGCTAGACATAAGCCACAGGGTAGCAGCCGCTGTTGGAGTCCAGATCCACAGGGCAACTTAAATGCATCTATGCCAATGTCCACACCATAGGCAACAACCAGGAGGAGCTGGAAACCGTTGTGCAGCAGGGAAATCACAACATAAACACCATCAGAGAAATGTGGTAGAATGACTGGCAGGATTGGAGTGCTGCAATACACGGCTACAGGCTCTTCAGAAGGGGTAGGCAAGGAAAAAGAGGTGGTGGGGTTGAGTAGTATGTCAGGGACTGCATTGACTGCCTTGAACCCAAAGTTCTGAGTGAGAAGGCTGAATGTCTGTGGGTGAAGATAAGAGGAAGGCCAACCAAGCTGATATCCCGACAGGAGTCTGTTCTAGACCACCCAGCAAGGATGAAGCATTCTTCAAACAGCTGGAAGAAGTTTCATGATCACTTGCCCTTGTTCTCGTGGGGGACTTCAACCTACCAGATGTCTGCTGGAAGTTCAACACAGCAGAGAGGAAGCAGTCCAAGAGGTTCTCAGAGGGTGTGGAAGACAACTTCCTAACCCAGCTGACCAGTAATTCTGATGGAGCCTTGTTGTGTCTGGATAACGATGGGGTTTTGGTGTTTGAACTTAAAAACCCATGCAGGTTGATGGGAGGCATTTATGATTCCCTCTGCTCTCAGAAGCATTAAAATAATTCCCAGCAAAGTTTCAGTTGTAAGAAATACACTTCAAAAAGCTCATAGTTCAAACTTGGTGATTACAGACTTATCCTGAACACAAAACAATTGCACTGTGTTTTAGGAGTATTTTATGGAAGCTTTCTGATGAGAGACGTGGCTGCTTCAACTGAACAAAGCATTCCATTTGTATTAAAGCATTTGCCTAACTTCACCTTGGCACTATGTATGTTTTCTTGTTACAATGCAGTTCCACACAGAACCCAATTCTACTGGTTCCCTTGGTTACTTACTCAGGAACGAAGTCTCCATGGAATACAGTGAAATTTGGAAATTGTGTACAAAATTTAATCCCTGAGAGCAGGGCCATAAATATTCTATTAGAGAGAGAATTACAGGCTTTATGGTATCAAAAAATGAATTCAAACAGCACTGAATTAAATAGGAAAATTAATATTAACTAGTAATAATGCAGTGATTATTTGGTAAGATTATTCCAGCTTTTTCAGAGAACAGGTATGCTGGAAGTGTAGAAATGAGAGGAAGGAAAGACACGACTGTAACCTTTATGCCTACCAGAAGGCTGCTCCAAAGCCTTATGATTCCAGGTTTGATTTCCATCTACATTTCTGATCAAACCCTTTCATTTCCATCCTAAATTTTTT